GAAATTGCTGCTGACTCAGTCTTCTGCTTGGCAAGTCTAACCCTAGGATGCAGGCTCAAAGTTAACCAGGAGTGTGCAGAATGTGTACCATCTCCCCATCTAGGATTTATACCCCTACACCAGACTTGGGATGCAATGAGGGGAGAAAAAACAGAGAAAAAAAAAAGAAAAAAGAAATAGTCTAGAATTTATTGTGGAAATAATTTGGTTTTCAAAAGCCTTGCCCCAGGCTGTAATGCCACAGCACTGTGACAATATCATGAGACAGACATTGGGAGGCTGCTTTATGTCAGCTCTGCCCCCTGTCCTGCACCACTTTTCAAAACATTTTAAGGAGCCAAACTTCTTGGCTCTCACTGTTGTCTCGTACAAGGAATGAGCCAGACATTTCACCACTGCTAAGAGCAAGACAACTCGAGGACGGCAACATTAAAAGAACAAACCAAAATCACAAACAAAACCAAAAAAACCCCACTGAATGCCCCCCCTCCCCACCTTCATGCTTCAATACTAAGGTTTGGAGAAGCTTTGGCAGGAAGCAGAGATTAAAAAAATAATCCTCTGTGTGGGAGCAGAGCCTTTCAAATTCACCAAGTATTTCATAGAGCTAGATAGATTCCATGCAGAGAAGTAATACAAATTAATTAAATAAATGAGATATTTTACCATTTACTTGGCCTGTTTAACCAGTAGGGGAGGTATCTTAAACATCAGGCTCAAGTCTTTCAGAGCAGGTCTCACAGTACAACAAAAGCAAGTGAAGGAACCAAAAGACACAGTGTTATGACCACTTTTTGGTTTGTTTTGTTTTTAAAGACAGTCCCCTGTGGTTGCAAACTCCCAAGAATCAAATTCTATTCAAATTCAAAAGTAGGAAGAATCCTCTATAGCCATGACACTTGCATGAAGTTTCAGTCAGTTCAGAATATTGTCTTTACAGCTGCAATATCTTCAATTTCTCAGGAAAAAAATGTGCATAATCATCAAAATAACCACCCACCACTAATGAAAAGTTTGGGCAGAACGCTGAATTGTGAAGGCAAAAATGACATGAAAGTTCTACTAAAGATGTAACTAAAATATTTGCAGCTTTCATGAATAATTTCAGAATGTATATAGTCCGAAGCTTCCTGTTCATGTACTAAAATTTAACCCATTTCTTAACATCTCTGATTTAACCAGTCTGAGTAAGAGGCTAAAACATGCAAGAGTAAAGTGATTACTGCCTCTCCCTAAGGCAGTCATCAAGTTCAGGATCAGTTAGCAACTGTGATGTAAATTTTTATCTAAAAAAACAGGTAAATAAGGTCGCTGCAAAATTTTGTGAAACCACAGTATCAAAAGTGACAGAGCAGCTATTCACTCAAAAAATATGCCAGAAAATACCTATGTAGAGGTAATGTCTCTTCTTCCTGCAGCAGATAATACAAAGAAAATTCGTTTTCTACACAGAATATACGGCCAGCAGAACTGAATTTGAAAATGAAGAATACTTCGTCCTCTATCAACACCTTACCCATGAAAAACTATCAGACACACACTGACCTGGCATTCTGACCTTCAAAGCATATTTCAGTGTCAATTCTATTTTTAAATTAATTGCTGGGAAAAGGCATGAGTCACAACCCTGCTTGGATCCCCCTCCACTGGACACTCACCAAGGGCTCTGTTTATTCTGAAGTTTCCCAAGTCAGAACAGGATGTAGCATTACTACCTCAATGTGGAGAACAAGGACCTCACAATTCAGTTCCCTAAGCCACCCAGGAATACTGGCCTCTGTATCCATCTTTATCTTCCCAATTTTGCAAAGATTTTTGTTGCAAACATCAGGAATCTCTGGAATACTCCAAAGTGCATCCCTCTAACAGAAAGGGATCCCACTTGCTCAGCTGTGTGCTAACCTACAGGCACCTTGTTTATGATCAGGTTGCAGCTGTTACTCCCCATCTGTTGGTCCAATTCCCTCACACTGAAGGTCAATCAAATCTAAAGAGAAGCCTCCCTGAAGCACAGGTGAGAAATACAGGCTCTGCAGTTAAAACTAAGTCAGGTGTACTCAATATAGGTGGTATTTGAGGGGTACTACAGCCAACCAGCTGGAAAAGCTCACTGCTCAAACACTTGGAAAATGGGAAATGTGCAAGTGATAAAGAACACATCCCACAAATGCTGATGGAGGAGGTCAGCATCCTGTGTCCTACAGCTTTGTGCACTGCCCAAATCCAAAGTTTAGGAGCAGCCAAACATCCCACTGCTAGCCAAATGAGCTGCTCACAACAGTGGACAAGTTAACAAAGAAGTGGAAACCAGAATCTATGGTGATGTATCCAGTCAAATTTTGATTTCCCATTGTCAGCTACTTCATTCCCTCTGAAGCATGAGATAGTTCCGTACTTCACTGTGGGCACTGTGGGTCTCAGAGCCAGCCAGGCCCATGCTGCTGATTCGCCTACGGAAATCCTTAGTAGTTTGATTGGCTCCAGGCTCTTCATTACAAAGAAGCCTTTTAAGACATCAGAAATAAATCATCTGCCTGGTTGCCTTTAATGAAAGCACTGTTACACAGGAAAAAGAGGGAGGGAGTATGAAACAATATCCATGTGGGACAGCCAAACCAAAAAAGAGGGATGTCTGAAGAACAGAATGAAAGACTTGAGAATTAAGTCAAGAAGAGAAACAATAAAGCAGTATGGAAATGGAGCAGGAAGGTATAAACAGGAAAGTTACAAATGGAATGAAAAGCTAAAGTGACTATTTTTTGTGAAAGAGCAAACACCTCATTAGGACAAAGAGTTAGTAACATATTCCCATGTACCAACTTCCCATTCAACAATCACGAGTTACTTTAGTGCGTTACAGCTGTACAACCATAAGAAATCATTTCCACATACTGTTGAGGAACTTCAAAAGCAACTAACAAGTCTGAAATCAATCTCTCTTCTCTTAAAAGTCTCCCAGAGCAAGGCGTTGTAGCAACTGCCCCAAGTATTCTCTATTAACAATCGAGAGGAGCCCAGACTGAGCTGCTCAGGGCTATGATTCATTCATGGCACTCTGCCAAAAAAATAAATACGTTCAAGACCAACGGCCCCAAGGGGAAAGGTAGGCCACTTCTTAAAAGGCACAGAGATAAATGATTTACAGAACAGAATACAGTTGAAGATTTCAGCCTATATGGATGACGAGGAAGGACTTAAGATAAGTCTCACAAACATTTAGTGCACAGACTTAGATACTGGCAATATATCAACAGATGGAGTGAACTAGGAACTATTAAACTGGGATTTGCAAAACTCTCTCCAAAGAGCAAGAAGCGACCCATTATAGTGCTGTACACAAAGGAAGTTCATAAAGCCAAATCAAGATATGCAGGGGGTATCCAGCAATGTAAGACAAACATGGCCAGCTCATGTTACAGGCAAACTGCAGTAAAGTAACACCTGTGGAGGGGCAGAGCAATCCATGGCAGGACAAACAGTGTAAGGGCTGGGAGGGCCTGATGCCACACAGCATCTGCTGCACATAAAAATGGTTAATTAGCTGCCAGACAGCAAGCAGCACGTTACCTTTTTTTTTCCTAGGAGAACCTTATTTCTTGAATAAATGCCCTTGCTCAGCTAGCAAGGTGCAGGATGAAGACTGCTGTTTCACTGCAGGAATGAGGCCAACTCATTCTCACATCACAGACTTGTCTTTGCCTTCTAATGTTTTGAACCACCATTTCAGGAGCAAGCAGCTTCTGAAACACCAAACCCACTCTTAAATGTGTCTTACTTTAATATTCAGGACATTATCTTTGACTGTATTACTAAGGGTTTTCAAAGAAAGCTGCTCTTTCAAATGCTTCCCTAGAGTTACAACTGCATTTCATCATTAAAAAATTCCAGATTTAACTGCTGCTTATCCCCAAACTCACCAACAGTGTGGAACTGCAGAGAAGGAGAAACACTGAGCCTCTCAGGATACAAGATATCCCCATAAGATACTCTATTTAAAGTTCTGGTGCACACATATCTCCAAGGCATCCTCTCTCAACAGAAGGGAAAACAGCCACAACTTCAAGGTAACAAATAAAAATCACCAGAGTGAATGAGCTGTTAGAATCCAGCCTTTACTTATGTGGCAGCCGTATCCCAGGAGGGGGGCAGCCATGTCCAACTGTACTGTACAACTCTCTACATCACAGATTTGTACAATTTTTTTTACTCCTGTAGATTCAAGGCCAAGCTATATGTTGCCATTATCTCAAAAAGGAATTACATCCCTATTCAACAACAGTGCTAACCTATGCATTTTAAGTCAAGCATGTGATTAAATGCTCTGCTAATAGGAATTCTCAACCAGATGTTGAGCAATCTTATGACACATGATCCCTCTCAACCAGTGCTTGAAGCAGTTACAATTTATGATCCAGTGGTTTCCTATCCTGTGGTGCTGTTATTTAACCAGGTTAAAAAGCCCCACTCTCACCTTTTTGTGTTAAGAAAACAAAATAAAAGAGTGCACAGGTTTGTCAGGGTGGTTTTGTTCAATATTACTCCCCAGAATGCCTCATGATGTTTAAAACTTCACTACATTCCACCATTACAGGAGGAAGGAATGAGCTTATTAAAATCTAAGTGTCTAGTTTTGCCACTGCCTCTTTTTTTCTTAATTCGGTCATATTGCTTATTCTATGGAAAACTTTTAGCTCCATCTGTGCACCACAGATGTCCTTTTGTTTTCTGTCAGCCTCTAGATTTCTATGCAATGCCTAGTAAAGCCTGCATACTTGAGGGAATTATGGGAATCAGAAATGCAATAGTTACATTTTCATTTACGGACACAAAGAGGAAATAAATGAGGCAAAATCTGCAATAACATTTTAGATGTTAGCCTTAATTATCCGGTAATGTATTCAGTATATGGAATAGATTTCTAACAGTCCAGCATGCAGCAACTGGCACTTCTTAAAAACAAAAAACCAACTCCGTTTTTCTGCTTACAGTATTCATTTTCCAAAAGTTGACTAGAGGAACAGAATTCACACAGAAAATACAGGTTCATTAGGAATGATCTCTCTGAATTTGTCGAGGACAAATCCTCACCAGTGGTTGGCGTCCTCTTCTTCGGAAGGAGCGAAGGCTCTCTTAGACCCCTTCCCACACAGCCTTAAAAGAAAATGAACAAAACTACAAAAGATAAATACAATAAATACTTTTGCTAACTACTTATGCAGAGGGATATGTTTGAAATTGTCCCGTTTCCTACAAGGATAATTTATGTGCTGTCAATTTCAGTCTTCCAATTTTTTTGTATTCTAAGACTTTCACAGATGAGGACTTCCCTCCCTCCTTCCCTCCCCAGATACTACCTTGGACCCTACTAAAAATTTTCTAACACCAGATAAAAAAATCAGTGTTCTGTCTATGCTGCTACACATGTGCCCAAGTGCTCCCCTACAGAGTATTTCATTTGGGACCAACTAATCAAAGCTGTCACCTCGTTAGATGACTAAACCAGGCAGTTCTCACTTCTTACCTGGTAACTATTTCATTCAGAAGGCCATGGCTCCATCCTGAATCTTTTCTCAGGCTGTTCATTTGTCCAAAAGCTTTGTATCTGTCGGGGTCTGTTTCTAGCACTGGGATCAGTATTCTGTGTTCTTAAGAGCTTCCCACCGAGCACACCTAAGCAAGTCAACATCTGATTTCAGATTTCTTTTACCAGAGCTTATGCTGAAACGTTAAAAATGGCATGGCTACTGTAAGTCCTCACTACATATGAGGTTAATTTTAAGGTGGATAGGGTGTATTATGTATAAAAGACTTCTAGATTATCTACAAAGTAACCTCTTCATGCAAACAAAAAAATCCAGCCAAAACCCAAGTTAAGTTTATTTAAGCAGTGGCTTAAAGCCCCTGGTTCCATTTCTTATATGGTAAACTTTTCAAATTGGGGAATTTGGCCTCTTCCATTAGTAAGGGGGGACAGAGAATGCTAATACCACACATACAAACATTCTTCATCACCATAAAAGCTCGTGAGCCTTCTAATATCAGCAAAGGGACATTTGAGGGGATTTGGCTCACACATTCTAGATCTATCACCAATGGATAATGCAAGGTTTTAGGAATCTACCTATGGCCTTAGAAATTTTCACAGTAATTTCTTTACTATTTCACAGGAATAATATTTTTCAAGATAATAATTTTAAAAAGGGGACACATTTATTTCCTGACTCTGGTTCAAAATGTCAAACTCAAATATTTAAAAATAATCAATATTTTAAAGTTGTCCTATGATTAAAGTAAGCCTGCATGAGTCGTATTACATACAATAATATATTTTCTGTTGTCTTTCTTAAATTCATGCTTTGAACTGCTCCCTGGAAACAATTAGCAGACAACTTCATTCCAATAATTTAAAGTGAGATCACTAAATTAAATGTGGCTTGAGATAACCCTACTGATCAGATAATACACAAGAAAAAAAAATACATGCTAATCAGGAAAGATACATTTTATTTCCATTTTTTACCATTAAATTATTTTTATCATTGACATTTTCACAAACAAAATTAAATTTTGTCTCAATTTATTTCTAATAAGACAAACTTCCTAAAGTAGGAAACCCACCTGAGTGCGAAAAATATTCTGTTTACAAAAGGTCCTCCAAATTTATTGCACCACACATGAAAACTGCCAGAAATGTCCAATCTTTAATGGCATGATTGACACATTATGTAAAACTCCAATTTTCTTTAGTTTAGCTAATTTTTAAAGGGAAAACAAGTTTCACCTTTGTGGACAGTATTTTCAGGGGAAAAAAAATAAAATCAAAGAATCAAACAATATGTGCTTTTGTTCATAATATTCCCAACTCCAAAGTGCTTTGATAGAATCTTTTGCCAAACAACACATATTTCATAAGTCTGCACAAGTAGGTCCATGGAATTATGATTTTCCCTCCAACTCTGGCTCTTCTGACAAGGCTAAGCCATGAGTTGGGCAGTTTTCATCTCAGGCTCATAAAAGAATTTTTATAAAAGGATTGAAACGTGACACCTGACAAGCTGCTCATTTCTCTGTCCCACACCAAAAGTCACCGTGGAAGTTTTTTGGATTCAGAACGTCACACGTGAGAAGAAATGTCCTTTCCATAAGGTCTGCCCTGCAGAAGTATCCAGTGAGGATCCTCAGAAGAATTCTAAGGATGAACTTGTCAATGCAGAAATGTGAAAGGACAGTTTCATATCTACATAAAATTCAGTGGGCTCTCCAGTTCTATAAGTCCCTGAAAGAACTTGATTATTTTGAAAGAGCCTCAGGGTATTTTGGAAAATAAAGCTAGCAATACATAGAAAATGAGTGGTTTTGGGTTTTCATTCATATCTACAATCAATTCTTTTTACTAGGGGTTTCTGAAAACCTAAGCTCTAGTATATAAGAAAATACAGTTCAGTATTTACAGAGTAGAATTCCTTTGCCCTATTATCAGCAAACCTTCTCCCATTAAAACGTTCCTATTTCATTCATAAAATTGGGCACGTAAATCATTAGAACAGACTTCTTAAATGCATTGTAATCTTCTCAAGTATGCAAAGTGGCATCTGCAAAATATTTAGAGAAAAAGTACCATTTATTTACCCATACATACTACGTCAAGACTCAAGATGTCTTCCTTAACCATCCCTTTGTCATTTTATATAATTTCTTCATACTGTAAGTTACAGATTTCTTTGCCCCTAAAAAAAAAGGAAAAAAAGAAATGACAAAATGAAAAATATAAACATTTAGGAAGGCTGACTCAGATAATAGTTTTTACTACACCAAGTGAAGTATTTCCATGGAGGAATGACAATCTAATCCACCAGGCAGATATGCAAATAACCTTCATAACACAGTAGATAATGACACAAAAAAACCCTTTTAATAGTATCAAAGCATGTACAGTAAACAGGTTCATTCTGAAGGCCTGACAATGTTGTATACAAGCGCATTGTACAGACAATAACCGAAGGATAGCAAACGTAGAGATTCCTGCTAAAACAATTAACTGGCACAGAGGGAAACTTCTTCACATCACTGTTTCTAAATGCTACATCCATACTTTTAACCCACCTGTGTGTACTGCAGATCCTCACCAAACTAATACATTGTGCTTTTTCAAGCCCTTTCTCATCTACTGCAAGGTATGTCCAGCTGAGTAGGATTCCACTCTGGCTGGTAATGGACACCAGCAACCTGCCAGATTCCACCGTGCAGCAGGACACCTAAGCAGGAGTGCTTGGAGAATTCCAGGCTGCTCGTTAGCCATGCAGGTTACTTAGCTGCCCATGCCTGTGAGAAGAATCTAGTTGTCAAAGCAGTTTGGCTCTTGAGACGGGAGCCCAATTCCCAGATTCTGGAGATTAGATGAAGAACCTCAAACTATGCCCAAAGCTATGCAGCCAAAATTTTACTGAAGGGATAAAGGGGAAGGAGTGAGAGGGCTGAACCAGGACAAAAGAACATTCTGCTCAAGCACGACAAGCAAAGTCCACGTGACTGGTAGACAACAAGCTCTACACTTCCACCCCGTCCTGGGCCAATTCCTGGTGCCAAGCAGCTTTTAGACAGCCGTGCTTAGCGCCATACATTGGGCACCTGCCTGCCTTGTTGGAGACCAATTCTACAGCTAGAACTGAGAAGCATCACGCTGATGCCACCTCAACTATGTGTTTAATCAAACCCTGCAGACCATCAGCAGCCCAGGCACTGCTATGCAAAGGCTCGTGAATTACAAGTGAAAACAGAGATCTGGGTTTGTCATAGGAACTGGGTTGCTGACTGCTAAGGTGCAAATCTGTTCTGGTTTCAACAAGTTGTAAAGTACACTATAACTTCCTTGAATATTTTGTTATTGCCTCATGCCAACTAAGGGCAGGTACAATTTCATAACTGACAGAATGGTACATCTGTCAGAGAATAAAACTGCTCGATCTGTATGCTTAGGAGATGATACTGAAATGATGGGTCTGGAACACCAGGTAAGGCACATACCCAGCTGAACTGAAAGCAGCAAAAATAATGAGATTATGACAAGCAGCTATACTTTGGAGACACTGCCAATATCAGAGGTGTACCATGGACCTCAGTGTGAAAAGTGTCACAGGGATGTTGTCTGGACCAATCACTTGTTAATAACAAACCTCATATGAAGCCAGAATAGCTGCCATACTCTAGCACTCTCCTGCCCACAAGGAGTGAACTCTGGTAAATACCACACCATCACACTGGGCCTACAATGAAGGCAGGAATGTCTCAGTTTTCATAAAGATACAGCAGCAGTTGTTGCCTCCAAGCATTTAGGAGTTTTAGATAAGAAGGGACTGAGGATGACTCCCACACAATTTGTGAAGTGCACCCTTAGAGTTAAACACTTAAATTCTACCAGAGATGAGCCCTCTCTTACAGACAGAGAATAAACAAAAGACACAGCCTTTTGCTGAGTTTAGTCACCTAGTATTTGTAAACTTAAAACCAAAATACTGTTACTTTTGGCATTTCAGTGGGGTCCTGAGATCCTAGCAAGTGGAGCTACTTATTTTTCCATATTTCAGCTTTTTTTTTTTAAATACTCCCCAAAACAAACAAACAAAAAAACCAACATAAGACACAGTGACTTTTCAGCTTACAACACAGTTCAATCACACCCTTACAAATTCAAAACCGAAAAGGCAAGCTTTTAATGCTGCACAAGAAGCTTTAATTTTGACACTTAAATGCAGAGATCAAAAGTATGGTACGTTATACTTACTACAATCTTTCTTATGTTTATCTAATTGAACGTCTCACAAGACTGACTAAAAACACATAGAAGCAATTTAGCCATAAGCCACACAGTAGGAAAGACCAGAGTTCAAGAAAAGATATTCTGGAACAAGCACCACAGATTTAGCCATCTACTGCACTGGTCTTTTTTGGAGAGAGGGAGGAGAAGAGGGTATGATCATTTTTAATTTGAAAAAGACCTTAGAAAGCAATCAAATGAAGATAAAATATTTCAAGTGAAAAGATACATTCAGTATTGACAGTCTAGAGTAGCAAGAAGTCAAACGAGTATGCAGTAACAAGGAAAGGTGCATGCTCTGTTTCTGAAGGAATGTGACAGGGTAAAAATCCTATGATAAATACGCTGTATAGAATCAGTTTTACACTTCTCATGCCTCTAACTGCAATTTCAATAAGCTCAGCTTTATCTTTCGTAAGAAATAATCCATACCTTTATTTTGAACTTACAAACCCGCTGTATCTCATATGTATGCTCTAACTTTTCTAGAATTAATAGGTTTTTGTAAAAGTGAGCACACTACTGAAGTCATGACAGGCTTTTCTTTGCAGCACCTCAAATAACAAGTGAATAATCATGTAAATTCTGAGGCGACTCACACATCCACATTGGAATTGCACACAGGGTAAGAATTCCAGTTGCAGAACAAGGCTAGGCTGAGCTCGGGCATAGCACATAAATGAAAGAAGTGATTCCAATCTCCAAAGTTAAAACTGTGGCTTTGAAAATGACTGTCCAGTCTCCTAGGTACCATACATGCAGGATCCAGTCCCTCCAATAGGGGAATTGCTCTGACAGGATCGATGCTGTTGTGCCATTCCAGTGAAGTCAGAGTACTTGTGGAAGCACAGGATAACGTGGCAGACCAACAGTAACGCAGCTGATTCAGCCCTGCAGGACTGGAATTAACTGTGCTGGCACTGCAGCCTGCAAGTCAGCTTGTTCTACCAGCCTGCCAACTTACCCTGCCTCCTGAAGCAGCTCAAGAGAAAGAGATTTTTCTCTTTCCTATTTTCCCCCTGCAGGGAGCACTCCACTGAACTCCACCCACCAGAGGCTTATGGAATGAGATGCTTACATTTCTGCCCCACCACATCAGCCTGCAAAGGAAAATGCAGGTTTATACATACAGCTGGTTTCTTAAAGCAGCCCTCAGGGTGATGAGTCACATCTGTAGTAAAAGTTAATGGTTGTAATTATGGCTCAGTCTCAGAATCTGAAGCAGTTGACCCACATAAAAATGTCTTTCTTACTTCAGCTATGAATCTATGACTTGGTGGTTCCACCTCCCCTTCAAATTTTTCCACTATAGGATATAGAACAAAGGCCTAATGCACATGGGACCAAGACCACAGCATCTCAGTGTAAACACAAGTTGTATCTGGTTTTACTTAACAATCCGCATTGAGTTTTTTGGAAGCGTTAGTGTTGTAAGACAGCAATTTGGCTTAATTCCCCCAAAGTTTCCTGGTAGATATGCCTGGCTGTAGTATTCGTTACTTCCTTTTAAAAAGAAAGACTGATGTATGTACAGCTGAAGAGCTGTCATGTGGAGGCAAATAGTTACATATTGATAGTGTGTCATGCACAGACATATGCAAACTTTGTACACATATTCCCAGGGAAGTTGGTGGCAATGCAGTATCTGCTCAGGCAGTTGATGAAGACATCAGTTATCTGAACTCTACAGAGTATTTTACATGTAAAGCTGATCCTTCAAGTCTAAAAGAATCCTTGAATACACAAGGATTAGTATACTAATATCTCAATTCTAAGAAAACAAATGTTATTCAGAGCATTTGTGTTAACTTAAAAGTATCTTGAACAAATGCTTCAACTGATGATTTAATTCATAGTATTGTATTTATAGAAAAATTTTCAAGGCTTGCGGCATTCCTCGAGTGAAATATAAAGGAGAAATCCAAGCTAAATAAGTATCAACATCTCCTTCAGAGGAGCTAAATATAAGAGCTGCAAAGTTAGTTCCCAAAGACCATGCAAACTCTGGCTACATGGGAAAAGAAATTAAACCATGGTGCCATCTCTAATGAGAAACAGAGAGGCAACCTCACCACAGACTCGAAGAAATGCACAGGCACATTTTCAAAAACTAAATAGGGCATTTAACAACAAACAAAAACACAGAGCTAGAGCTCAACTTCAAAACCACATTGGCAGAGAAAGATGAAAAAAGTTCTCTTAAATGGGTTGAAATCCTTTATTTTGCTTGTGCTCCTTGCCAATAATGTTAATACCCAGCATGCCACCTCAGCACAACTATTGCTGATTTAACATTTAGCATTCAATTTAGAAATATGCTGTACATTGGACAGCCATGCTATGGACCAGAGTAGGCATTTCACTTTTTTTGTTGTTAAGGTAAAACAATCAGCTAAGGAAAAGATATTCTGCCTTCCCTTACATTCCAAAAAGAACGACGGCCAGGTAGTGAAAACTAATTCTTCCTCAAACAAACTATTTGTACAGATACTAGAAACAGCAACAAAAAAAAAAAAGTCAGAGTTTATTTAATGAAGCCACAGATTTCATGAATCTCTTTAATAATTCTCTTATTTTAAGCTACTATTCTTGACCTAAGCATTGCAGAAGGTCAGAGCCATATACTTTTCCTAAAGTCTCCACTAGAAAGCATGAAAATAGGTCTTAGGGGAACAGAATATTAGACAAGATTTGGACAAAGAATGAAGAAAGAAATATGGCATCCTTAGGGATTGAATTTAAAGCTCCACACTTCCCTGTAAGACACATTCCTTGCATGAGTCAAGCAACTACTCCAATGTAGGAGCCACACTGTGTTGTGCACATTCTGTGTCTGCAGGAACATGAAGAGCCCCAAGGACTGGCACAGCCACGGCAGCAGCAGTACTGCTGCCTCTAGGAATGCACTTTTAAATTAAGAAACTGTACTTGAGAGAAAATCTTCATGAGAAGATACAGCAAGATTTAACATAATCATAAGTGTTTGGATAGAAATATTTAAAAAAAGAAAGAGCAACAAAAAAAACCCCACAAGCAAAAAGCTTTTACTAACTAACTCCTAAACCCATGGACACCATTCCTCCTCAATTCCAGGGAAAATCACTTAAGATCATACAAACCTCACATCTGAAAAATCCATCAATCCTGAATTCTGTTGCAAATGGTTTTGGTCAGATTCTGGCAGAAGAGTGTAACTATGTTTAAAAAAAAAGAACTAAATTATGCTAAAAGTAAGAAAAATCAACTCCCCTAGGGCCTCCTTGCTCAAATTTGGCTCGTGCTTGAGGCAAAGGATCCAAATTGCTTTGCTTTACCTGAATCAAACCACAAAAATATGTTTTCAACACTAAAACCACTAGTAGAAAATACATGTTTTTAAATATGAGTGTTATTCTATGTAACTGGCTGATTAGGAGACAACTCGAGTTTGTTTTAAAGGGGAAAAAAAGCCACTGTATATAAAGCAAAAAGCAGTTAAGACAAAGGAAAGTAAAGGCATTTCCCAAATAACTAGTTTCAGGTGCACAAGCAGAAAACATGGTAAGAATCACAAGTCCTACTAGAAGATGCATTAGGACCCCACAAAAGTCCCAGTACCAACACAGGCTGTAAGTGATTTACTGCATGACACGCAAAAGGAGCTAACAACTCCCAGAGGTGATTTTCTGTCCATCAGAACAGACAGAAGGAGAGCATAAATAACCTAGAAAGCTCAACTATCTCTATCCCTGCTGTTTAAGTTCACACAAACAGCTTTGCCCTACTGGGCAGTCAGGATAACTTTCCCAAGCACTGGATTCAATAGGATAACACTGTCCTTGACCCCTCCCCTACAATTATTTCACTAAAAAAATCTACACTCCATGGATTTAGAAACAGATAGGATGCAAGTTGACATCTCTAAAAAAGGCATGTTATAATACCAGAATTCTTGACCACTAGCAGGTAATTTTGACAACAAACCCTAGAAGAAAAATGTACCTATTTGGTTGGAAACCTTACATTAGAAACTAACATCTGCCATGTGCTTAATTGATATATAACAAAATTGCTTTACTTAGATGGAGTTCTGTCTCCTCCAGCTACTAAAAGTTAGGCAATAGTTTTGTCAGACTTCTTCCATTTAATAGAACTAAACTATTAACAGACACATATAAAAAGTAAAAGTGTTCCTGTTTATTTTACTCAGCAGACCTGTAATGGTCCTGAACACTGAAACCTGTGTTTCTTTACAAGGGGTAGGAGGTGTAACATGGAGTCACCAACAGTAATGGAGGGGAACAGCCACTGGAGAAGTCTGGATAAGGATTGCTCAGTAGGAACCTCTAGAGTCGCTTTTAAAACCAGTACTGGCATCATTTGTACATAATTGCTTTTGTGGAAGAACTAGGAATAGGTATGAATGAGTTCAGGAAATTATTTAAGCAACTTCAAGAAAGAATGAAGCCTTTTTAATGCAAAAAGTGCAGAACTAGTGCATATCAGCCAGATCTGGCCTGCATAGAAAATTAAACTGAACTCAGAAGTTGGTTTTTATCTTACTTTTGGGTTGTTGGGGGGTTTGTTTATTTGTTTACAAGTTCCACGGACTCCAGTTCCTTTTAGCATTTTACAATTTTGCAACAGTTACAATAAATCTTCTGCTTTAAATATTACTTTTATCTTCCAGGGGCTTTCAATTAAATGCACTAAAAGTTTAAAGAATAAACTCCTGTAACAAGATAGTCTTGGGGCCCTGTAATTTTTCCTTTGTGAAATTAAAAGACCTATGTTGATGAAAATCACCCACATTCTTACCAGCTGTCAGTATGGTTTTAGCACTCTGCACTATACTGGAAGATCTCACAATTCCTGAAATGCCTGCAGAGAGAAAAGCACACAGATGTTACCCATCTTAGCAGTTTTGTGCGGATTTTTTTTTTTACCCTCCAACATACACAAATCAAATATTGTTCCAGTTATAAGATCGAGCCAGCCTGAAAGTAAAACATACACTTATGCTGAGAATGTTTTGTTTCTGCTCTGCTTTGTCATATTAATTGAAAATATTCTCTAAGCTATTTTATTTTTTATATAACATACAGAAAAAAAACAAACCAAATCAATATTAAAACAGACAACAATCGGTAGGAATTGATCAAATAAATGTATTTAGAGGTCCCACGATATCTCTACTAAGATAATTAGTCACAAAGGATTCAGAGTTGTTTCATCTAAGTGCTGGTATATCAACATTCTAGAGCAGAACAAATTATACTTCATGATTACTTCAATATAAAATTGGGATTTTGCACTTCTCTGATCAAGTAGAGATGTCACTATTGTGCAGAGCTTGTCTGGCTTTTCTAAATTATCAGCTTTTAAAGATAAGGCTCATTTACCACTTTGCACTGTGCCACATTCAGTTCTCATTGTCCCGTGGTTCTTAGGTATTAATGGAAAAGTATATAAAACTTTAAAACTTTTTTTTCAGAAGTATTGTTATGTTTGTTCGAACACATAAAAGCATACTGATATGTAAAAAAGTACTGCACGTTACTAAATACTTTTAAAAAAATGTAGGAATGCAGTAGTCTCAGAGTTAGGCTTCCAAACTGAAAGATATTATCCTGCATTAACCACCTAGGATATAATTTCAAATATTTTTAAATCCTTCTTTCAAAGCTACTTCCATAATTAAGAACAAAGTTTAGTGTAATCCATTAATAAGTAAGAGGGATACAATGTTCCACTGAAAATAATTTGAGGGGTAGGGAGGGGAAAGGAAGAAATCATATTGATCTAGCAAAATATCTAGGGATAATGCAATTCACATTGAGTAATCAGCTTTGTCTTGTAGGATTCCCAAATGGCTTGTCCTGGCCTTCACTCAGAGTGATGAATTAGGAAAATCTTTTGGCCACAAAAGTGAAAGAGGGGTTTTGATTTGTTCTCCTAAGAGTTTAAACTGCTTGGCCTGAGAAGACCAGATCTACTCAGTGTTTTGATACTGAACTGCTGCACCACTGTGCACAGCCACAGCCATGCCTGCAAGACCCTACATAAACACAACCACAAGGATGATGAGCTCAGGGTGGATAACTTGGAGCTCTAAAATCACATGCAGCTCACAACACTGCTCCCGGATTCAGCTTTTATCCTGTTACTGGTGCAGCCCACCACAGAAGGTGCCATAGACTGTCATGAAAAAGCTGGACACCTCGATGTCCAGATGCAATTCATCCTATACTGTCAGTGGAGAACTGCAAGTCTCAGGAGCTTTATTTCACCAAACAGAAAACAGTCTAAAAGCTCCCTCAGCAGTTGGAGAGTGTCTAGTGGCCCCCAGGCACATAGGGAACTTTTGCTGTGCTCAAGGAGCTTGCAAAATTTGCTAACTGGAACTAAAAATTTGTCAAGTTCTTCAAGCACTAAACATTTTCCTTTTTCTTCAGCATATAAAAACATTGATGTCTGCAGCATTAGCTTTAACTTGCTCAAATGACATAATCTTGCCTCAGAGCAGCTGTGATGATGAGACACACCTCAATCTTTTTCCTTAAAGCTTGAGTTCTCTGCCAGAGCTCACATGTCTGGACTAACCAACATGATTGGGAAGGGTAATGTCAGCAAGACAGAAAATTAGCTTATTCTTGCAATGTGTGACTGGTAGGATACATAGCTCAGTATTTCAATGAAGTTATGCCTAAAGGTGTAAGCACTCCAGAGTCAGACAGTCTAAGCAGGCCACACTAATCCCTAAAGACTGTCTCTTCCAGGACCCAAACCAAAACATATCTTCCTATATCACTAGGAATGCTATTTGCTAGTTTTTCAGATAACCTGTTTGCAATCAAAGAAGTCTGAACCCATGTTTTTAAGAAGGTATCTCGTGATTAAATCTCTTGGGTTTTTCACCCTTCTCTTTAAACCATCCTTCTGAAATAGAAAAACATATACAACAGATTTGTATCTCTATCACATCTTAAAAGAGATTACAGACACTGGTTAGGCCTACCTTGATGCACCACAAATCCACAGTCAGGGTCATGAGCAACTTGCAGTAAAATTTCTTCCACATCTCTGTTTTTTCCAGGAGGGTTTACTAGAGAAGTTATCTTTTGTTGCAGAGTCTTTGGCAAAGCCATTAGTTGTGCAAATTGACCTTCTGGACTTTTATCAATCTGAATGTTATAGAAAATAAGACAGAAAAAACCATTCAGTTCTCTTTCTTAAGAAGTCTGAAAATTCTTCTGGCTCTCTTTGACCTCTGAGAAATCTCTCTCAGAACCCAGTCTATGTCACTAGTACAAGTAATGGACATTTGTAATGAAAACTTCCCAAGCACGGGGAAATGCAGCTATCTCAGTTCTGAACCTGAAGTATAACTCAGTGCAAAGATGTTAATTTTAATTAAAAACACACGTGATCTTCCTGTCTCTGCAAGTAACTTTTCATTGAAACTGTATCTTTTCTGTTATATCCAATTTCCTTTGGAAACATAAGTACACTACAATTAAAAAAAGGTTCCCAAAAGACCACTTAGCTCAGTTTCTTCTGCCTGAATATAATCAAACTGTAGACACACACATTTCAAGTTTAGTTTGAAAACCATTTTCTCTGCTTTAAACTCAAACCACATCTGGTTTGGAAAATTTGAAGAAAACATTCATTCCACATTTTCCAATCTAAATCAGAAATTCAAGGACCCTTTTTTGAATGCAACAATACAAACATACAAGCTTGTACATATTTATACAGAGTGTAAGCACAAACACTGAAAAATGCATGATGGAGCAGATCTCTCCAAAACTGGAGGAAAATATGAAGAGCTCAATTCCTCCCACACAACAACTCAGACACTTCATGGAGACATCAGACAGGAGTCTAGTTCCCCTATACACTCCCTTTTGTCAGTGTGGAGAAAATGATCTCCAGATGAATCACTACAGAGGCAGCCGACGATGAGCAGGCTCTGAACATTATGTGGGAGGAATCCACGCCTGAACCAAAACTGTGAGAACTAGTGTCTGTCTTCAATTGGTTTTGAGGAATCTTTTAAGAAAGAATTTTCTCTGTAACTCTGAAGACATATACTTGGAGAACGGGGTTCTATTCTGCATTAAACTGCACTCCTGAGAGCAGACATTCACCTCAGTCTGGGTAATAACTGCCAATAATCACACCAAGGTGTGAGCAATAGAATATTAAAGCACCTTGCTTCAAATCAACAGTGAAATAATGGTATTTAATCAACAGCCTTGATGACAATTGTGGAATTATGGACAGATTTATTATCCAACAGCATATTTGCAGTATGCTATCAGGATTTTTTTAAAGGTAAAACAACAGGAAGTATTATTGTAACTAGCCTTTTTCTTGAAGAAAGCATTACTGATCCTTTTCAAAATTAATTTAAATATTTCTTCCACTAAACTGTTGAAGAGCACACTGATAAGAAAACATGGAGACAGCTGCAGCGTAAGACAGATCTGCCTATGCTGTACCCCAAAGTGCTGCAGCACAATTTTTTACTGCATTCAAGTCTGCTTAAAACTGTACTTATATCAGTTTCTAACAAAGACACATCCTAAAAGGAGGCATTTGGGAGATAATTACCACGGTGACTTGAGGACAAGAGTCCATGAGACAACCCGTGCTATTTGTAACTTCATGTTGAAGTTTATATCACACTTGAATATTCACTCATGGACATGCAAACTACAAGAGGAAAATTGCTACTGGACCCCTGACTGTGTGGTATCTCTCTCCTAATTCCAATGTTATATCAGAAAGATCGAATTCAAGATACTCGTCATTTTGGATTTCCCAAATAAGGATAAAAATGGTTTAGGATGGGTATTTAAAGATAATGCCAGAATTTCACTTGGGTTTAGTCAGCTGATCTTCACAACTAACACTTGATGAGTTTTTTTGTGAGATGCAGTTTTTGATTGTGGAAAGTTGCACCTCTGAGTTACAACCTAATCTTTTTAACATAAACCATATGTTCATTCATCACTGCCTAGACTGTTGTGTCCATGTGGTAGTCATTAGAACACGTGTTTTACAACGATCTTCTCTTGTTCCTTTGCTAGGGCTCTGGTTCTGTGCCCATACTCAAAGAAAATGAGCAGTAGTTACTACATATGCAGAGACTGGTATTTAAGGCAAATCTTCTGGTTGCAGAATTAACTAAACAACAAAAACATAACAAATAGCGAGTACAGTGACTACAACTGCCCTCAGTGCACGGCATAATTCCTGCCTTCTGTCAATGTGATAAAGCACTTCCACCTGTTTGTTTTAAAAATGTTTTGAAGAACACTTGCCTCTAGCCTTCCCAGATGGTGCTTATATACCACTTGAGGGCAGTCCTGTAATATGTTACTGTAAAGCTTCTGAAAATGGGGAATGTTGGGTTTCACTATGTTCTGCACTTTCAATCTGTCTTCTCCTATTATCATTCTGAAATCACCTAGTCAAGAAAAGAGACGCAGTTAATTCATTAGGAAAAACCCAAAAACTCAGAGAAGGAGAATATAACAGAAATCAATATAGTAAAAAGCTGTCATCTAAAGCTTTATTCTTCAATTCTACCAATGCCTATATAATTCACAATAAGGTTCACCTTCTAGTAGTCAAAAAGCTATTCAAATATCTTCAAGCACAGAAAATACGTGCTTAGAGTCAAATATTGTTATGTGGCCTCTGATATGCTGTAATATCATCAGCCCATATGTCCACATTTTCACTTATGGACAACAAAATAAGTCCAGCTGTCAAGTGGCAGTAGCAGTTACATTCTTTGCAACGACAGGTACATTTCAAAAGACTACTAAACAAACTGACCAGTTCTAATACTTTGTATCTACAAACAAATAAGCTTAATTTTCCAGTATTGAGAGAAAATAATTTGCATTGTCTCTGCACTTCAAGGGCAGTACCTGAAGTTCACCTAATGGCAGTCATGGTAAGATTACTGTATTATCTTTTCCTCTTAGCCATGTGTTTTGTTATTAGTCTCAAAAATCAACTGCTTTTAACACCACTGTTACATCACTGACCTTTACACTTTCTCTTCTGATACATGACTGAAAAGTTTCAGAGAGAATAAGTGAAAAGACAGCTAGTATGTAATAACTACCTCAGTTAGGTACTAGCCTGGTAACTTCCTGGGTTTCTAACCAGGAGTTAGAGGCTCAGTGCAGCATGTATCAACAAACAAAATCCTGAATCAATTCATTTTCCCACTTCCCACATTCAGGAGATAAATGTTACTGAAAGATGGCAACTCACTAGCCTTACTTAGTTTATTTCAATTTATGCCAAGCCACAAAACACTTTGCATACAAATGGTACTGACTCACTGCTCTCAAAAAATGCATAAGAAAATAAAGGATAATCATTTTCTAAATTCAAGTACGAACAACTCTTTTCAGCAGTCTGCAAGGAGATTAATTAGAGTAACACATAAAATCAATTTTGTCTACTAGTATACCCTCTGAAAGACTTAACAAAATGGCAGCAAAATAAAATATCCACGAACATATAATCAACAGCCTTTTCCTTGAACATTCCCAACTGGGAATCTTACTGCTTTAGCTTTGTTCACACAGTAGAGCCAATTTCAACATCTTATAGCATGGTAACTGATCTCCCATGTTTCTGTTTAATTGCACTGTTTCAAAAACTCTAGAAAAAAGTATCTCGGTCACCAGTGCCCACCAAGAATGTAATGCCATTGCTGGGCAGGTTTCAGGTGGACAGGTCTGCAGCCCTGCAGCAAACAGCCTTGGCTGGCAATCCCACTGTCAACACCCTCTTATTGTCACTTTAAAACAGGCAACAATTCCAAAAAAAAACTACTATGGAAAAGCTGAAAAAGCTGCAATCTAAACTGCCCAGGGAAGTATTACATAAAGAACAGTAAAACTCCTCAGTACAGCCAAGCTGCAGCTTATAACCCCCACCTGCCCACCTGTGATTTTTTAAAGCCAAACTTGCATTTCTACACAAGCAAAGGAAGTGCTGCATAAAGGAATCAAACTTGTTCATAGTGATTTCAATAAGGATATCAACATTTAAAAAGCAACGCTGAATTAAATTGTAACAACTGAATCTTACATTGAAGAGTCATTTGCAGCAGTTTCCTCAATTGTTTTCTATACCCATTTCCTAACTAAAGAAAGGAGGAAATTCTCTTAGCAAATAAAAAAAGTCAACAAATACTAACCAGGAGTGAATGTTAAATATACATTGAAGAATCATAATCTGGATCCTTCAGTTAACTAAATAAGAACCTTAAACACATCACACTCAAAAAGTAAGAGATGACAAGGTATGAGTCAGACTATAAGATGATTCAACATTACACTGAGAGCGGAAAGAAATTTTTTTCCAAGGTTTTGAAATACTAAACCAAAATACAGTCCATACAAACAGAAAAAAACCCACATTATTTCATCATATTCAGTCACTCATAGTTAGCTGTTCATAAATCAAGCAGGTATAAGAAGCTTTGTTTAGGTACCTCCACCTATTTCCTAAGAATAAGCCCAATTAGTCATTTGGAGCTGTTATGTAACACAGCATTCAGATACAATTTTTGGAGCATGCAGCAGTGTGGGCCCAAAGCAAGAGGGCAAATGACTTACTACACATGAGACTTCCAACTGTGGTACAAGAGCTCCAACTACAGCTTTTCTCCTTGGTGACTTCAGACACCACATACTAACCAGAGTAGGAGAGTCCTGCAATCTGCATATAGAGGTCTTCTTCAGAGAAACTTTCTGGTAACATGAGAAAGGCTGCTGTGACTGCACTCTTCAGGTTGCTAACAAGAGCAGCTTGCAGCTTGCTATTCTCATTCTGTGTCAGTATTTTCACCTGAAAAAGCAGAGCCATTGGAAGCAAGACTTCAGGAAAGTGCTGCTGAAGATGGAACTAGAAATGTTACTCAATTCAGCATGAAAAATAAATAAGAAATTTATTTAAGATTAGATCTTATTAGTATGGTATAATTAGTATGGTATAATAAGGACTAGTTTCCCCTTTTGTTTACACCGTGTGAGAAAGAGGAACATCTTTTTAAGAATTAACAGTCTGCTAAAAAAGGTTGTTTTTACAAACAGGTTTGGAACTGCCATATGTTACAGCCATTAGCCAATCTCTGAAGAGCTATTCACCTTTTCATATTCATAAATTTAAGACTGATCAAAACAATAAATATGAATGCATCAACAGAAATACTTCATATGTGATTATGCAATAAGAAAAAAGACCACTGTCTCACTGAAAGAGAACAGAACACCAAAGAGGTAAGTTTTCATATTCATCTTCATTCTTTTTTTTTAATAGAGGACTCCCCTATCAAATGCTTCTCAGACATTAGTTGTCCTCCTAGAAGAAACAAGGTTTTATTTTTGCACTTTGCATGAGAAGAATGTGAACTCAATGGAATCTTCACATATACATGAAGAACAGATCACTTTAACGCTTCTATGTGCCACATAAAGTATTTGTTTTTAGGAAACACTTAAACTGTTCAAGACCAACTAAAGAAACCAGTCACCCAGGATACGGAAATATACTGGAATAAAAAGCAGATCTTTTGTAAGAACGGAATATAGAAACACACCATTACAGAATATCAGACAGATGAAATCCTCCTGGTTTACAAGATGGCTCTATAACTACACTCTTCCAGAAACAACTCTCCATGAATCCCTGCTTGTTGTCAGTTGCTGTCTTTTTCAAGTGTCTTGCTTATAAAAGGCAGATCTTTTAATATTTGTTTACCCTACAATACCTTAAAATGCAAACGCACAGGCAGTTATGAACAAAGGTATCCCATTTGTTCTTTCTCCCCAAAAGCCCATTCACACACAAATGAGTTGCAGTATTACCTGAAATTCTGCCCCCACATATAACCTGAAACAGCTAAGGGACCCTTTCAATATATATAAATGTATAAATACTCTGTTAATCAAGGGGGGAAAAAACCCAAAACCAAACCTAGATTCAATAAAGTATGAAAATCAGACATATCTGCTACACACAATTCTTATTATAGAAAGGACACAGCCAAAGTAATGTCATGGCTGACATTGCTGATATTCAGAACATACTATTTAGTTATGGCAAAATCTTTAAGAGGCATAAAACTGGAATAATATCTGATTTTGATATGATGGTGAATGCAACAGTACAGAGGTTACTTGTTTTAATCATTCTGCACTATTTATTTATTTCCTTGAAAGCCACAGGAGAAGGTTACTGAATGCACAACAGACTTGCTTAAGTAGTTTCAATAACTAAGACGTGCTGGTCATGGGGATGAACTAATAAATGTGTGTTCATAACTTGCTGCTACAGGGAATCTCTAAGGAAAGACAGAAGAGAGAAGTCTGTGGCACCACAAGCACTCATATAGGTGCTAATACCTTAGGATAGCCCTGGAAATAGCACCATGTTATGGACCTGTTTTAAGAAGACCACAGTTACAGCCTTTTAAAATGTGAAACTCCAAGGAGATCTTATTCCTCCTTATGGAAGACCACAGGAATTTTTTCCAAGGAAAACAATATGCTAGGCTTCAAAAACTGCATGACTGGAAACACTGCAGTGGTGATAAAATTAATTTATGGACAAATTTTAAACAGTTCAGAGAGCTAAAAATCTCCCAGGAAGTCAGAATGCAATAGTTATCACCCTGGTACAAAAGGGATGGATGTTGATTCTTGGAGTAAATCTGAAAGAGCACCAAAGTTAAGGAAGGCTTTTTCACAGTACAGAGAACTTTTAACTGGATCTATTCACTGTACCATATCACAAATCAAAGTAGCAGCAAATGCAGTTACACTGAAAATAGCTATTCACTATTCATTGTTAATGTGACATTCAGGATTCTTCCTTCAGTTATTTTTCTCAATGTATTAAGTTTCACTCTTTACAGAGATTACAGCTGCTCTGATCTGTATCATGCTACAATACGTCTCTGGAGATAGAGAGAAGCCAATAGTGCTGAGACAATACATTCAAACTTTCACTCCAAATTTTTAGTTAAAAGCATAATTAACTTCTGTTCTAAGACCTGAAGAGTTCTCCTCTCCTTCTCACCCTCCTGTCTTAACAAATTTTTCCTCAGCCCTGCTGCCATCTGCTGAAACCACACCGAATAGAGCACTCAGGGAAAGCAAACACCTCCTATTTTTTATGACACAAACACGGAGGAGAAAAACACACGTGTTTAACCCATAGTTCATTCAATTATAAATACTTTAACAATACAATGCACTAGACAGTAACTGCACAGCAAAGCAGCTTTCATCTTTAAAGATTTCCATTATTTAACCGCATTAAATTTTGTTGACCCCTATAGTCTGTTATGAAAGGCACAGAATACATTTAACATTAAAGGGACTTTGCATTAATATAGTCCAGTTACCCAAGATTTACTACAGGCAGAAAGCTTTTATCAACATACTTACCTTTGCGGGTTTTCCACATCACACAGAATGTCATTAAGGACTACATTTCACTTCCTTTCTGAGAGATTATCCCTCCAGGGCTACACCTCTGAATCAGGGCACATTATTTGTTCAGTACCGATATATCCTTAACAGATAAAGTTAAAACTACAACTGATCATTTTCCAGCCCTGTAATTTCCTGCATTTCGAGACAGAAAACTGAACAGGTGAACAGTTACCGGCTTTTGTAGGCGCCCAGCGACATAGAGGGTTTTCCAGTGAAATAAATCATCAATCAGGGTATCAGTGCTAATTACACCATATTTTATCATCTGGGAAAAAAGCAAAATAAAAGCTTTTGAGAAAACATACCTATACCTTTTTCACTACATGAAACTTACTACTTCCTGACATAACTGTCATTCATTCTAAAGAACACACACCTCCAATAAAAAACTGTAAAACATTTTCATGTTTTAATTAACACAGGAGGTAAAAGAAAAATTTCCTACTTACATGCAAACTTCTGGGAAAAAATGGAATGCCTGGAACTCTAAGATCTTTTCTAGACTCAATGCTGCAATAAAGTCTCCAGCCAAATGTTACAATATTTTGATTAATCCACAGTATCCTTTATGATATTGAAAATACTCAAGAAATAGTTTGTCAGAGATCTACAACTTGCTGGACCACTTACCTAGAATTATCAATTACACCCAAGCCTCACAGGTCAGGACTGTCAACACCAAAGAACACAGGTGTCAGTTCCAACTTGCTATGTTGCAGTTTGCATTTTATGCCAAACAAACAGTAAGAATCCACTTTGCTATTACTATGTGGTCCACTGCTGAAGTTAAGGGCCTGTTTTCCCAGAATACACTGTACCACCACCAAAGCTGGCAGACAGCGCCTAATAATGAATATAAATACAGTTTCCAAAGTGCTTTAGCTCTAAGTTCCAAACATTGCTCACGCTATTAAGGTGCAAGAGCAGCTGCTCTGTTTGCTTTTTAATTAAAATGCTGTTTGTGAAGCAGTTTTGAGACAGAAATATTGAAGATACCATGAGTTAATCTACAGCTACAAACTACAAGATTGGCTTCTGAAATTTGCTTTAAGCTAATCATTTCAATACTTCACACAGAAAAATATTTTACTTAATTTGTACTTGTACAAAGACTACTCATACTTACCCTACCATTACATGGCACTAAAGTGTTGTAGTAAATTCCTGCTCCGTAGCTCTGCATACTAGTTATCTGTTTTGGCCCAAAAAATTTTAGGAAGGAATAATGACTCCTGTTCTTTAACAAGTTCATCATATGCCAGGTCACAGAATCATCAACAGCAAATACAAAATCCAGCATATTGTTCTGTGGATGAGGAGCAGAGTGTTGAGGGTTATACATCAAGAAGCAGCCAATGTTAATCATAATAACCTAAGATATACATAATCATAATAATCTAAGATATATGTAGTATCAAACTTCCAGCTAATAATTTTTCACAAGAAAAATATAAGAATAAGGCCTAAAACACAAGTATTAAAGTCAGATACAGTTTAAAGATTCAGATAAAGTTGTGTTTTCTTGTCCGTTTAGCAAAGACTACTCAAAATTTTCCTGTGCCGGTCGTGACCGAATTTCAACCCTCCAAAACAGAAGAGCAAGTGTAAGATCTCCACCACCTTAATTCACAGCTCAGTGGAACAGCTGGCACTGCTAATGAACAGGACTTTTGGCAATTTGCAAGGCCATGAACTGGGGGATGTGGGCAGATAAAGGCACCCAAGAGCTGGCAACAAGTGCATTTCTAGCATATTCCTTTGCTTTTGACAACAAAACAATCCAAACTCCAAAGATTTCTAGTGTGCAGAGTGTGTACTGCTCTTCTGGAGAAACCAGTGCACACACTGCCTGCACACAGACAGCACAACAGCTCAGAACTCATACCTGCAACACACCACTATCTGGAGTGATGTCGCTTCTAATTCACTAGGATTGCCTCTCTGTGGCTTATTAATTGTGGGCATCATCTCAGCTAACCCATTAATACCACTAAAAAGATAATCTGTTAGCTACCTTTCTTCCTATTCTTTTGTGTGACAATGAGATGCTGTTAGAGCTCTGAAATTCTTATTATCCCCGTTTAAAGAAAACGAGATACATTTAAAGTCACATCTGTGGAGAGTGCTTAGTAAGTGAAGCCAATAACGAGCAATACTGCTGATTACCAATTTTTAAAAGCTCGAACATAAGAAATAAATAAAAAGAAACATTATTTCCAAGCAGTTGACCCCCAAGCGATGTGGAAGCCCCGCGACTGCAACTTCAGTGTGGCAATATATTTTCAATTGCCCTCATACGGTGCATAGCAGCACTGTAATTCTCTTTAAAAACAGCAGTAAATAACCTGACACACAGTGTACACACACAGGACTGAAGGGGACCCCGAGCTCCTCACAATGACAAACCCACTGCCGGGACCACCCCGGGCCCTCCCAGGCAGCCCGGGGCACGGACCGGACACGGTCCCCGTAAGGGACTGGGATCTTCGCCTCTTCCCGTACACAAGCCGCAGCCGCAGGGCTGGAGGTGGCTCCAGGTAATGCGGTGCCCGGAACGCCCAGCACAAGGCCGCGGGGCCCGAGCGCTCACCTCGCCGTGCTCGGCCGCGGCCCCCGCCTGCCGGAACACCCCCGAGCCGTAGGCGAAGGCCAGGCTGAGCTCCTGAGGGAAGTGTGCCAGGACCCGCCGGAACTTCACGGCCGAGCTCGAAAGCACCGGCAGCGCCATGACCGCGGCGCCTGGCCCGCAGGACCCGCCGCGGCGGGAAGAGAGGCCGCGGCCGGGCAGGGGCTGCGCCCACAGCGCCCTCTGCAGCCCGGCGGGGGCATGGCGGGCTCGGCCCCGCGCACAGGCTGGCACGGCCAAGGCGGCGCTGAGGGGGACACGGCCTGGGCTCCCGACAGAGACACGGGCAGGGCTCCCGACAGAGACACGGCC